TATAAAACTTCATTCACAATAGAATGTAGTGAGTTGGTGTGGCCCTCTGGCAAGGGTTTGCTGACATCTGTTCTAGTCAATAAGAAGCTGCCTTGTTTGTCGACCAGCAGAAAGTACTGGAAAAAGGGAAGAAAAAGATATAGACCAGAAAAAAAAATTAGTGATGAGGAGGCTTGGGAGATGGTTTCGTTGATAAAGTACTTAGCCACAAATGGAGGTGTGTGCTTGGAACCCAGGTTCTGGGAAAGGGAGACAGGTTGCCTGGAATTTGCTGACTTAAGAGGTCTAGTCTCACCTAAGAGATGAGCCTCAGGTCCCAATAAGAGACAGCATCTCAAAAAAAAAAAAATAAAGAAAAGGTGAACAGCACACACGTGTGTGCATCTATACACAAATGCACACAAGCAATGTCATTGATCTGTGGGAGAGGCTATTTTTTTGTACTTTCTTTTTAAAAAATTTTAAATTGAATTTTTGTGTATTTCATACAGAAAATCATCTTTATGCCCCCTTCCCCTTTGGCACCCTCCCACAGCCCACTCCCCCACTGGGATCCATACATTCTGTCATTTGTGTTAAGGCTCTTACAATCTTTCCTTCCCTGCCCCCTGGAATGATCCTTGAACCCTGGGTGGGTAGATTTTAATATAGGAGTCTGAGAGGCTATTTAAGATAGTGACTTCCAAAGCTACCCACATACGAGATACAGTCAAGAAATATGTTTCCGTGATAGATTTTTAAGTTTTGCCTCCAGAGATTGCCCAGTAGTAGGTTTAGGAGTATTTTTTGTTGTTGTTCTTTTTGAGACAGGATCTCTCTGTATCCCCAGCTAGACTGGAACTCACTAAGTAGACCAAGTTGGCCTTGAACTCCCAGAGATCCACCTGCTTCTGCCTCCTGAGTGCTGGGATTAAAGGCATGAGCCACCATGGATCCCCCAGAGTGATGGTTAGTTAGCATTGTCAACTTGACAGGATCTAGAATCACTTGGGAGAGAGGCCTCTGGGGGATTATCTTGATTGTGTTAATTGCGGTGGGAAGGCCCACCCACTGTGCATCACCAGCCTCTGGATGGGCTCCTGGACTGTGTAAGTGCTGCAAGGGAGCTGGGTAGCAGCATGCATTCATCACTCTCTGCTTCCTGATTGGGGATGTGATGTGACTCATGCTCCTACCATCCCAACTTCCCCACCACGACAGACTGTGAAGTCAGAATAAACCTTTCTTTCTTAAGTTGCTTTTGTCAGAGTATTTTATCACAGCAACAGGAAAAGAAGCTAAAATTAAAAGTGAGACTCCATGACTTGAAAAAAATTCTGAACAACTAACAACAACAACAACAACAACAACAACAACCACAAAACTAGATTAAAAGAAATGCTAGAGAAACAAAACACTGTAGATGAACTCTTCATTAGCATGGTGGTGAGATCCCAGGAGAGTCCCAGTCCTAAGTGGGAAGAGAGGACTGAGTTCTAACCTTGGCTGTGTCACTAACTGCTGTGACCTCAAACAAGACACAACACTCACAAAGTCCACCACACTTACAGGAACATCTGCCTAGCAATGGCCTAATTGATAGTGGGCCAGTGGTACTTTTGTCATTGATCCAAGGATAATTGTTTCAAAACAACTTATATAACCTTCCTTACTTTGCCTTAGCCCTTGCCATCCTTTTACCTCCAACTATAGTATGGAGAGTCAGATCGCAAGCCTCCTATGTCTGAATAAAATCATGTTTAAGTCAGCCACTCCCTACTGTTATTCAGGTTGACAGTGCCTTCATCTGAAACACCTCTTTCAGCAACAAATGAGGGATCTTATAAAACATAGATCTATTGCAGCCCATGTTGTGAAACTGTAATCTTTTGTCCCATCTTATGAATTTAAACTGAATACAGTGTTTAAGAGAGAAAATTACAGATGATGGCATTTAACTGCTTTTTGGCAGGATTTTCATGTGATTGCAAAACAGAAATAAAATAAACTGAAGGGCACTCAGTTTGATAAAAAGGTATTCACTGTACTCAAGGTTTTCTTTGAGGAAGGAACTTTCATAATCACTCTAGGTTAAGTTACCAATTCTTACTTTCTTAGTACACTTCAGTGGTTTCCAGGACCACTTATTAGAGATACCAGCTCAGAAAAACACACAGGTATCCACAGACGGCCTGTGAGGGGAGGAACTTTGGTGTGTTAGCCAGCTTCCCACTTCTGTGACAAAACACCAGAGATTATCAACTTAAAAGGAGAACAGGTCTATCTTGGCTCATGGGTTCAGAGGTTTCAGGTCACGGTTACTGGGCCCTGTTACTTTGGGCTTTTGTGTCATTAAAGTGATGGAGAGGAGGTCTGTTTACCTCATTGTGGCTGGGAAACAGAGAGACACCAGAAGGGGCTGTCATATCAATACCCACTTCAAGAGCACTCTCCAATGACCTAACTTCCTTCTGTTAGACCCCACCTTTTTAAAAAAGTTCTTAAAAACTATATTTATGGGCTGAAGAAATGGCTCAGAGGTTAAGAGCACTGGCTGCTCTTTCAGAGGACCTGGGTTCGATTCTCAACACTCACACAGCAACTGACGACAACTGTGGTAACTCCAGTTCCAGAGGATATGATGCCCTCTTCTGACCTCCATGGGCATTGCATGACACAGGTGTACTTACATGCAGGCAATACACACATACACATAAAAAAAAACAAAACGCGTACCGGGCGTGGTGGCGCACGCCTTTAATCCCAGCACTTGGGAGGCAGAGGCAGGAGGATCTTTGTGAGTTCGAGGCCAGCCTGGTCTACATAGTGAGTTCCAGTACAGCTGGGGCTACAAGGAGACCCTGTCTCAAAAAAGACAAAAAAAAAAAATGCTTGTGTGTGTGTGTGTGTGTGTGTGTAAGCATGCACATGCCATGGTGTTTATGTGTGGAGGTCAGAGGACAACTTGAAAGGGTCAGTTTTCTCCTCCTACCACGTGGGTCACAGAGATTGAATTCAGGCTCAGCAGCAAGTGCCTTGGCCCACTGAGCTGTCTTGCCAGCTCCCATCTTCTTTCTTATTACTACATATTCACTATAGAAAATAATGGGAGTCCATCATTATGGCATTTTTATATGTATCATGTATTTTCATAATATTTACTCAATTTTTTTTTTTTTTGTCTTTTTGAGACAGGGTCTCCCTCTAGCCCCGGCTGTCCTGAAACTCGCTATGTAGACCAGGCTGGCCTCAAACTCACAAAGATCTGCCTGCTTTGGCATCCCAAGTGCTGGGACTAAAGGCATGTGCCACCACACCCAGCTCCAATTATTATTTTATCCCCTCTCTTCCCATTGGCTATTTTAGTCATAACAATATTCTTTGTGTGTGTGTGTGTGTGTGTGTGTGTGTGTGTGTGTGTGTGTGTATGCATGCATGCCATGGTACATGTATACAAGTCAGAGGACAACTTGTAGGAGTTTATTTTCTGCTTTCACTATAGGGATTCCAGGAGGGATCAAATTCAGGCTTGAAGCAAATTCTCTTACCTACTGAGCCATCTCCCTGGACCTTTTGCTCCATCTCTCTCTCCCCCTCTCTATATTTTGAGACAGGGTCTCATTATGTAGACCGGCTAGCCGTGGACTCACAGAGATCTGCTTGCCTCTGCTTCCTGAGTGCTGGGATTAAAGATGTATGCCACCACACTTGACTGCACTTAACCACTATTTCCAAAAGTGCTAAGGGTTAATGCTTCACAATAACTTTTGTCCTCTTTGAATTAGAAATTGGTAGTTTTCTGCTATTATGAAAACTTTCAATTCATGAAATACCCAAGATGAAAGTCCTCCTTCAGATCATCCATAAGGAAAATGGAACTAAACTCCTTGCTGACCAGGAAGTCACTCAGCAAAGGTAGCAAAAACAAAGCAATCACAGAATTTACGGAGATGATGGAACTAGGGGTACAAAGACCCAAACCTCACTGGTCACACACTGAAAAAAAGGAATTCAATAACAATAGCAGCCCTGTCTCAAACATGCGAAATGGTTAGAAAATGTGAATAGTAAACTAAAACTCACGTGACCTCTACAAAGGCTGAGTGGTATGCTCCTTGACTTGAGATGGGTGTATATAAACCATCACACTGCAGTGGACAGCAATGCTGGCTGATGTACCCATTAGCTGTGTGTCTGTTGTCTTCCTATGTAGCTCAGGTCAGTAGGGTGTAGTTTTCTTCTGGCCTAAAGTTCCCTGTGGACCACCCTGCACACCAACAACATGCAGTGTACATTATGCTTAATTACATCCTAATACATCAATTGCATTAGCAAACACAGTTTTGTAGCACCTGTTAATAGTAGCAAGCAATGTGTGTATAATACCATCAACAGCCCTCTCTCCAATGGTACCCAATGAAGCTTCAAAAAAAAAAAAATACTGCTCCACTAAACTAAGATTGGTTACAACTGGAAATAATCACACTTTACAGGATATTCACTCAGCAGATTTCTCTTTAATGTGTCTGTGTGGGGGGGTGTGCGTGCACATACATGGGCACATGTGTATGTAGACCCTGAGGTCTGATATCAGTATCCCTCGATCCCTCCCCACTGTATCCTTTGAGACAGGGTCTCTCAATTGAGCCCAGAGCTTGCTGATGTGGCTAGCCTAGCTTGGCAGCTTGCTTCTTGCCTCTGCCTTTGGAGTGCTAGAATTACAAGTGGGCTGTCACGCTCACCTGGCACTTAGGAGGGTGCTGGGGATTTAAACTCTGGTCCTCTTGCTTGTGGGGCAAGGGCTTCATCTGCTGGGTTGTCTCCTCCCTCAACCCTGTGTCTTTTTACTTGTCTCTTGTATAAGAAATCCATTTGTCCTGAAGGGTCTACCATTCACCATTTGTGGACTAAAGGAAAGACTCCAGATAGTGAAAAGATACTATTCTTCACCTCCCCACAAACATGCTAAAGATTCCCCCAGAACAATTCCAATGCGTCTATACAGGACACAGAAGCACAACTGCGAGTCATCAAAGTGCTTTATTCATAAAGCTCGCTCATGACTGGAGAGTATTATCAGCACTGGGGGATACACGGCACACATCCTCGCTCTGTTCAAACAGCTTATCTGGATGACAGAGACAGTTAAAGACAAAAACAAAGCTTTTCTGTAAACTTCTAAAAGCAATACACAGATTGGCTACAAAGGAAATGGTCACTCAGATCATGTGTGTGTACCTTCATCTTTTGTGCAGGGTCTTGGGCTTGTAAGTCTTGGGACAAAGATTAGAGCAAAGCTTCAGAACAGTGAACCAGATTGGATGCCAGAATTGATGGTGGCCAGGAACCAAATCATAGCATTGATTATTTCAAATGCATCAAATACAGATTTGTACAACTATGTTACAGTGGAGTTAACATCATCAGGCAACATATCTGTGGCAGGTCAGGAGAGAGTAGTCAGATGGTGTTCTGCTGGCTTCCAGGCACTGTGGAAGGCAGCCCACACATGTTGGGCACAGTTGCACCTGGAGAGGCCAAACGTGACTGGAAAAGGCAGCCTGGCAAGGGACTTGTTGTCTTGTAGGTAATTATTGAAGGGCAGAATTTCTTTTTTTCCTTTTCTAAAACTGCCTACAAAAACCATCTCACATATTAAACAAAGAGTTTTAAAGGCACAGCTTTAGCACAGCATATAAGTTCATAAAGTACTCTAAGCAAGTCTAATATTTAATAATGAGGCCTTTAGAATTGCAGGGAATTTGGTAGATTCATAATCAATGGTGGAAGTTTTTTAACTTGGTTACACACAATCAGCATGGTTTAGGGCAATGAACTTACATAACCAGCTTTGGGGTTTAATCTTAAAAAAAACGATTAGGTTGATAAATATACATCTGGAGAAACAAAATCCTTTTCCTTTTATGGTGAAAGACTGTCTACCATGTACTTTGAACAAAACATTCACTCAAAACACAACTGCAGGACACATTTCAAAATACAACAAACATTATTTTTCCTATGTCATAAAATGACTTTACATGTAAACTTCAAAAATCACATGCTGTATATTAAATTTTTAGATTCAAAAATATCCCTGTTTTTCTAACCATGTAAACAGTAAAACTGAGGGTTTCAGTTAAAGGGATAATTCATAACAAAATTCCACTGTTTAAACCATAGTCAAACATAAACCTCTTATAATTCGGATTTGCCGTCAGTCACAGGAGGATTCTAACTTCTTCCTCATCTTCCTGCAGTGGGAGATGTAGTTACTATTGCCCCAAACTATGCACCATTCAGATAAGCTTTACTTTTACTTTGTAGCATGAATTCCTACAGACCAAAGTAAGGGCATAACAATGCAGAATCTCTAGACAAGAAAAGAGAAGCAAGCAGTTTTCCTGGACATATTTACGGAAGTTGAAAATGTAGACAGTTTCTTGGCATCAGCCTCTTGGTTAGCCTGGAATAACCAGGGGTCATGATACTGTGAGGACAGAACCCTGATCCAGTACACGCGGAAACATCATCATTCTTCTGCACAGAGCTGTGGGCTCAGGTGACAACTAGCAAGGAGGGTCTGCGTGCTGGGTAGAAGGGTAACAGCTGCAGTCAGTTTTTAGATTTTATTTTAAACATGATCATTATTACAAATAGTCTCACATCTTTCAACTCAAAACAAACTGATCTACAGTTTATTGTGTGATGCCAACATGGTCACTTCTCCCTCTCCCATGTGCTTGTACGTTCATTCATTCACTGGATGATAGCTGGGATCAGAGAGGGGTCTAGTTGTTACACACTCTGATTTAAGCCAATTGGTTTTAATTAATTAGTTAATTAATTAATTTAAAATGTGCACGAGAGAGTGCATGAGCACACACACAGTCAGAAATAGCTAGAACGATGCTGGGAAATATCAGGTAGCTGTTAAAGCGAGGAGCCCCCCACTTCAGTCATCTCAGTCTGAAGATGTAAACAAGGAGGTTTGCTTCCTGCAAGGTGAGTGCTTCAATGAGTTTGGTTTTCATTTTTCCTACACCGAAGCCACCACTGGCCTTCCCATGGTCATGTCCATCCGAGGCTGAGTGAGAGGTTACGTCAAGATGTGGCCAATAAAGTCCAAAAAACGCTTTGAATACTGTTCTGGGTTCACAGTAGAGATCTCAGCTCCAGCCTGGGCAGTTTTGAAGGAGAAGAATACTGATATAAGTTCATGATCTCCTGAAATTACTACTCAGTGTCTATGGCTATTTCCAAATGCAGCTCAAAGTTAAGCTAATCATTTTTTGGGGGGTGGGGGGGACAGTCTTGGGGATTGAACCCAAGGCCTTGAGTGTGCTAGGCAAGCTATCACTAGCCATACTCCAGCAGCCTCTGCTCTTGAACCATCACTCACAAACACCTCTGCTATTTGGCTAAGGAACAACATTCCTAGGCATCGGTGAGCGAGCAAGGGGCAAAGCCTGTAGCAGCATCACAGGTGACACCACAGACCCGTGACTGCACGTCAAACTGGCCATGAAACACCTTTCCACTCAGAACCCTCCAATGCTCCCCATTTTTCTTAAAGACAAAGTCTCCCCACTTTGTTTTAGAAACAGTCTCCCTAGTAGCCTAGGCTAGCCTTGAACCCCCAATCCTCTGCCTCAGCTACCCAAGTGCTGGGATTACAGGTATCTACCATGATGCCAAGCTCCTGGAAATTACTCCTGGGGTTCTTGTCCTCACTGTTGCCCACTGACAAAAGGGACACGCTGTAGGGGCCAGGAGAGAAGAACGAGTGGGGTCTGGAGGGAATATTCTCAAAGTACTTATATGCTTACATGAAAATGGTTCTATGCTGCCCTGTATAAAAATTATTAAAAAAAGGTTTTGGTGTGAGATCACACTGAAATACCCTTAAAGGGGATGTGCACAGGTTTCCCATGTGGATTCAACAAGCCAGCACACCCAGAACAGTGATGATTCTGAGTAAGCAAAACATATCATAAGGATGAACATGAAATGCTTATCTTAAGGCTCAAAAGGTTTCTGTAATAGAAAAAGAAAAAAAAAACACAAGAAAAGAAATACAATCCTGCATATTGTGGAGCATACTGCTTCAGTCTGGAACATTCCAACACTGAACTATCTCCAGTTCTTCAATCTTTGGAGAGGATTTCAAACCTGGAGGATGTTGTTCACCATTCTAGAGGTACACATGGCTATAAATACCTGTGTGGGAGGCCGAGTCTGTGACTTCAAGAACCCAAGAGCCAGGGTAAGACAGGGAGGTGGCATCACAGGCTACGCTGTACAGGCCCCCAATGGGAATGAGCATCACTAGAGGGCTGAGAACAAGGCGCAGAGAGCACAAAGGAGCAGCCCACACTACAGCCCATACCAGGGACTCACGAGGGAGGAGGACACACGACGCCGTGTACTTACTCCATGTTTAACAGTTTTTGCAGCGTGGGCAGCTTTCTTTTTTGCATCGTAATGAGTGAGAATGTCAATGATGGCCATGAAGTACACCTCTTTCCTAGGCGAGTCTGGAAAGCAGGAGAGCAGAGGCTGTGAAGTCGTGGAAGGGCGTGAGCTATGCAGGCCAGGAAGGAGCGGGATGGAAGAGAAGCACACAGAAGCCGGTGTGCAACCCTCCTGCTCCCTGCACCAAAATGTCAGCAGAGCAGAGGCATGAGAACCCAGGGGCACTGGCAGCACCAGCACCGGCTGTGTGAATTGCCCCAGCTGTCAACCTGACACACCTGGGAACAGGGAACCTCGGTTGTGGAACTGCTTCTATTGGATTGACCTGTAGGCGTGTCTGTGAGGCATTTTCTTGATTACTGAGTGATGTGGATGGTGCCACCCCTGGGCAGGTGGTCCTAGGTTAAGAAATCTAGATGAGCACGTGCCAGGGGAGCAAGCCAGTAAGCAGTGTTCCTCCACAGTCTGTGCTTCAGCTACTGCCTCAGAGCCTCTCCATGATGAACTGGAAGCTGTAAGATGAAGTAGACCCTTTCCTCCCCAAGCTGCCTCTGGTCATGGTGTTTATCACAGCAGTGGAAACCAAACCAGAACAAAGTCCAAGGGTAAAAACTAAGTAGTTAAAACTAATCTTTTCTTTCTGTAAATGATAGTACATCAGTTTGGTGTAAAGAAAAATGCTATTTTTAGAATGTTCTGTAAAACATACAGAATTAGTACTGGATAAAGGATTTTATTGCCTTCATTATCTACTTTCTACATATTTTCAAAAATACATTGCTTCAATTATGAATAGTAAGAAATGTACCTGGCTTTTTTTGACACAGGGTCTCCTTATGGCCCTAGCTAGCCTGGAACTTGCTATGTAGACCAGGTTGGCTGGGATCCACCTGCTTCTGCCTGCTGGGACTGGATTAAAGGCATGTGGCACCATGCCCAGCAAGAGATGCACATTTGATTATCTAATTTTGTTTTAGAAATGACTTTGATAAATAAACTAAAACTCACTTGGCTGATATGTCAGAGTTAGAAAAAAATAAAGACAAATCAAATGCTTTATTATTTAAATAAAGAGGACATTTTTACCCTGTCAGTAATATATATGTATATACATTTTTTTTTCACAGACATGTAGTTAAAGTCAAAAGTAAACAACTACATAGATACTGATTCAGATGGTCTGACTTTACGGGAAGGTCGCAGATCCCTAAATAAAGAGGACATTTTTACCCTGTCAGTAATATATATGTATATACATTTTTTTTTCACAGACATGTAGTTAAAGTCAAAAGTAAACAACTACATAGATACTGATTCAGATGGTCTGACTTTATGGGAAGGTCGCAGATCCCTTCATGGAGAACAGCTGTAGAGAGCTGGAAATCACTGATTCTTACCCTGTGCACTGGGACCTGGTCTCAGCACCCCCAAGAAGGCGGACTACATGAGGATGTAGCTGCTCCACAAGATAGCCACCCAAGGGTCGCAGTGGATTGCATACACCTGCCTCACTTGGGACAGATCTGTGACACTTTGGATTTAATTAAGAGAGAAGACCGCTAAGCTGTTTTCCTGGCTTTGGCTGGGGCTTGAACACAGGGCCTCATACATGCCAGGCAAGTGCTCTATCACTGAGCTATAACCACAGGACTTTTTTGATACAGCTTTTCTGAAATGACACAGGTAGGCCTTAAACTTGTAATCCTCTTGCCTCAGCTTCTGGGATAGGTGAGGTTACAGGGCTGTGCAAGAAAAACTTTAAAAAAATATTTCTTATATAATTCAGGGCGTCCAACCTTTGGATGTTGTGACACGATGGCATGGATTACAAATGTGCTGGGTCCCATTTAGAGCTATCCTGGGATTCAAGTGGCCTGCAGATTGGACACGACAGTCATAATGTGTTATCTACACATGTGTATGTGTTATATGTAAAACATGGTTTGAGGTTTGTTCCATCCTCAACATCGGAGATTACAGTTTCCTTTAACCACTGTCTCTGTATTAATGCATTTGACTGCAGAATCAATCCTGCACGGCAGTGCCCTTGTAACTGGGGTTAGGATTACGGGTAGATTGTGCTGCAAAAATCAAACCGCTTTAAATGCAGAAAGAGTCGATAGCAACTCAGCTTACTTTCATGGCATTTAATTCCATAAACATCAATGTTTGGATCGAACTCGCCCGGAGCCAAGGGTGGTGAGCTGTTGAGTGTATTTCCAGGACTGTCAGGTGGGGTCCCAATGGGATGGGTGCCATCACTCTCCGCCTCCTCCTCCCCGTCGTTCTCCTCACACTCCACCTCCTCTTGCTCAGCTCGATCCACATCATGAATTCCCACCAGGAGGCTGTAGTCCATGAGCTTTAACTGTGCAAGGAACTGGGGGACGGGGGTGTGTGTGACAGGTCAGTTACACTTCAACAACCACTACAAGTCAAAGAATAACAGGCTGAGAAGAACACATGTAGGGGGAAGGCTGGGGGGGGCAGCAGAGACCACAGTGCGGGCCCCCGAGGCTCCCTCAAGGGTCTGATTCAGAGTTAGGATTATTTTTCCCCCAAATGCAAAGCTGGCTTCTGAGAGGGACAGCTATTATGAGGACGTTGGGGTACCCCAAAGAGCAGACTGTGGCTGGCAGTAAAGAGCCTGCAAAGAAGGGAGGAGGAAGTTTCTTTCAACATTGAGGCCTGGCTCACAGGGAAAGCCAACATTCCTCCAGGTACCTCTCTGCAGAACTTGCAGGACCATTTGAGAAAGCCCTTGGAAATTTGACACACTTCAGTCAGATAATTATTATGTTGTCATCGGTGAGAGAAAGCCCACATGTCCCAGTCAACCAGCAAGTGAATGGTGTCGGAGCTCTGGTGAGAAAGGCATTCCCTCTGCATCCATCTGGCTTCCGGCTAACGGATGATGCTGAAACAGCTCTGCTTCCCACCAGGTCCCAGGGGCCCTGCCCTGCTCTCCTGTCTAGCCAATCAATACTGTGTTGTGTGAGGCAAGACCCAGCTGTCAGTTTGGCCCTGCCCACCTGCCAAGTTCTTTGACTCTCCATGTCATTTCCTTTTTCCCCTTTACTTTTCTCAGTTAATCAGATGTACCCAGATACATAAGTGAAATTTTTAATTGATCCACTGAAATGTGGATGGAGTTGCTGACAGCAGACTGTGCAGCCCATCCAGTTTACAGAAGATGCATGGCCCTGACCCCTGGGCAGCTGGCCACCACCTCCTGTGGTGATGAAGAACATGACAGAACCGACACATTCCACATACAATGTAATGAAACGGTAGCTCTTGAGGGTCTGGCTAAAAATGAGATGGAACCAATCTATGGAGCCTGTAGGCCATTTCTTTTTCCTGAATCTGCTGAGAAGCAGACCCACGGGGTGGTGGTTCCTATAAGAACAGAGGGCTTTGGAGTACAGGAGTGTTCCAGTAGGCCACCTGCCAGGGGCTTCCCAATGCCTTGGCTTCTCCATCGGCCATTCCCTGGGGCCAGCTCAATCTTCTCCATTTTTCAGAAAAAGGAACTTCAGATGTTGGAACAAGGTAGGGGATATGTATTTACTTAGAAGCAGATAGAGGCCATCCTCTCTTGTATGGCTGAGTTCATGTTCAACCTTATGCTACCAAGCAGTTCTTGGGCCTCCAGAGCTGAGGAGGATGCTGCTCCTCCTTGTGGTTTCCCTCCGGCTGTACAGGGATGGCAAGAATCCACTTTCTGCCTTCCCTATTCAACCATGTACACATGGCTCCATAGTGGTAAAATGCTGCTTATCGCTCATAGGATTCTAGCAGTGCTGGGCCTCAGGGGCATCTGACTGGGATTGATTGGGTTCATGTGGCTGGCCATCCTCATCTACACAATGGCTGCTTGAGGTGGTGATGCAGGCAAATGAACACCTGTCTGAATCCTTTACCAGCATCGGGCCTGCCACCCCACCAAGGGTGCTGGAGCCATTCACCTGCTCTGCATCCCACAAGCCGAGGGATGTCAATGAGCCCTGAGTGCTGCAGGGTCCAGAGAGCCCACCTGGCCCAGGCAGGTAAGAGGACCCCAGTTTCTGAGTGCTGCAGGGTCCTGAGACAGTCCACCTGGCCCAGGCAGGCAAGAGGACACCAGTGTAAAGTACAGAGACTCAGAGCAGTGAGGGGAAGCATGGCCAGGGACTCAGACTAAGGGGAATGAACTCAGGAACTGGTGTTTTGGGCACCTTGTCACAGTAACTCTTGAAGCTGCATTAAAGCAGCTTTCCAGGTCTTGTGGGAAGCCTTATGGGAAGGAAGATCACAAGTTAAAACCGACTGTTTCCAATACATACAACTATTTGTATGATGTGAAAACAGAAGAGAAACTGGGAGATGGAAGGAGACTAGTGGAGGAGGGACAGTGGAGAGAGAAGGGAGAGGGTATGGTAGGTGACTATGTCACACCACATGACATACTAGAAAGAAACCATCTTTATGAAACCTAGCACTACGTACAAGGATTATATGCCAATTAACAGGAACAAATCCAACTGTTTCTCAAGATCTCCCCATATTTAATAAGCTCTGAGTCTCCAGGGGCAACTGGCCAACAGTAAGCCTCCACTCATGTGGTCAAGGCCCCCACTTCTCCTTCAAAAGGCTCTGTAGGCCTATTGCCTTGGAAGCACATTTGGAACACATCACGCCAGGAATACCTGCCCACATCCTCTAACTTGCAGACACAACCTTCCAGGTGGTCACTGGGCCCTGGGAGGCTGCTCCTGGGGCTGAGTTCAGCCTCCTGGCCCTTGGATAAGGAGGGCTTTGTTTCCTCCACAGCTTCCTGCCTTCCCTAGCATGTACCTGGCCTTGATCCCTACATGGAAGGTCTCCCCATCTACCAGCCACCCCATATCCTGGAAGCTCCTCCAAGGGCAAGTGTTGGAGCACTGCTTAGGCACCAGATAGGTGGCAACAGCATCCCCCAGAGGTCACAGATGTTGGAGTGTGACCCACATGAGGGTGGGCTTGGCCAGGCTAGGAAAAGACTACTTCTCTTCACCTACTTCCCACTCCTTCTGGATATTTGGAAGGTTCCTGTGAAGGAGAAGGAATTGGTGTGCTGCCCAAAATTCATCTGTAGTCCTAGAAAGGGAAGGGGTTTTCAAAACGTAAATCCTGTCTCATTAGCTCCCAAACTCACAGGGCAGACAACCAATTCAGGCGGGTAACTTCGTTTCATTCACCTTGGTTTCATGCTGACTTGATCCTGTTTCCACAACCTTCTGGTCCACCTACCTGCACCCACAAACCTTCTGGGCCTTCAGGGGCCAGGGCAGCACCCCAAGGTTGAGGATATTCCTGGCACTGAACGACTCCCTGCCTTGCCCATGGCTCGGCTGCACATTCATTTCATTGGGGTGTTCTCTCCAGCCTGGTGGCATCAGGGGCTGACATTTTGCTCCCCCTGCATTCTGACCCCTAGAAGGTAAGTGGGTTTATGAATGCTGCTTCTCCCTCCCCATTCTCCCAACTCACTTTCCCCTCCAAACTATCAAAACCACATAAAAGCAAAGCCTCTCAACAACAAAAAAGCCTTTGTATGAGGCTGCAAGAGGCAAGACCTGAGCACAATGAAACATTCACAAGACAGCCGTCTGCTCTCCCAGAATGGACTTTAACATAGAGGTCTACTCTTAGACCTTCACATGGCTGACCTTCAAAGACACCATTTTTCTCTCCTGTTGTGCGATGGGCTGAAGCTAGGGTCCTGTAAATAGGACTCACACTTTCAAGTGTGCTTTCAGTGTAGACGTCAACCCTGCCTATGACTAGGCAGTGGTGGCCGTCCGGCTGGATCATCACTAAAGCAGCAAAATCTGGGCCTGTGCTGTCTCTTTCTGGCCGGGGCAGCCCTGGGAAGCATTCCTGGGTCTCAGACCTATGGTTAGACCCTTCCAGTAAGAAAAAAATAAAGGAGCGCTGAGTTCTCAGCATGATCTCCAAAGCTGAAAGTCATGGAACATATATTTCCAGGAAAACAACAGGTGCCATCCCACTTAGACCACATTTCTAGTCCAAGAGACTGAGAAAGACAGGAAAGATGAAGTGTATAGGGAGTTAAGAGTGACGTTTTGTTGACAAGTGTGGCCCATTTAATTTCCTTTTTCTTTTTTTGTGTGTATTTGTGTTGTGTATATGCGTGTGTGTGTGTGTGTGTGTGTGTGTGTGTGTGTGTGTGTATAAGACAGAGGTCAACCTTGGGCGCTGTTCCTCAGTCATTACCTTATTTTTTTGAGACAAGGTCTCTCACTGGCTGCCCGGCCAGCCCCAGGGATCCTCCTGCTTGCCTCCCCAGTGCTGGGGGTGCACCCTCCTGTGTTTCCTGCAGATCAGACTAAAGCCCTCATGCTTGTACACCAAGCACTTCACTGACTGAGCCATCTGCTCAGCCCCCTTTATTCTTCTGTAATGAAAGCGCCAATCTTTTCTTTTTTTAAACAACTGCTGGAGATTGAACCCAGGGCCACATGCATGTTAGGTAGAAGCTCTACACCACTGAGCCACAACTTCAGCCTCAATCTCAAAACCAAAAAGGGTGTAAGTTTTGGAGTCAGAGAGACCATCTCATATTTGTGCCTTGAGTATCTAACTGCTGGGAGCCTCAGTTATGCTAACTGTGAAGTGGGACAACAGTCTCTCACATGAACAGCTTGGCTCCATCCATTTCTCCTACCCCGGGTACCCACTTCTGTATCTTTGGGCCAGGGTGGCACGGGGATGTGGCAAGAATGAAACATAATGTAGCTGAGGCGAATTCTGGGGCCTTGCACACAGCAACAGAACTTTTTATTATAACTGCCAATGTTGTTTAGATTATAGTGAAAGCATTTTCTCATCAACTATACAATTTAAGTGGGAAGACAGGGACACACGAACAGGTCAAGGGGAGAATTGTGTGGGAAAAGCTTCTGACTTGCTAGCTCTTGTCTTTCACAAACTGTATTGCAAATCAGTTTGGTAGCAGAGTAGAATGAGCTGAGCAGTAAATCTGAGATTCTGGTTAGAGGAGAACCCCAACAAGAGACCCAAGAACAAGCCCAAAGAGAAAGAGAGGAAAGACTGGGAAGTTCAGCTGTGGGGCTGGCTTCCAGCTAATGCTGGGAACATGACACAGCTATTCTTCTCTTCCCTGTTCATCCCTTTAGGCTTTGAACTCATGAATTTATTTTTAAAATACATACGATTTCAAAGTGTACAGGTTTGAAGATCTTTAGGATCCCTCTCATAATATCCAATTTAATCTGATATTTTTAAGATTAATCCCCCCTTATGCCAAATAATATTTATCTATGCACATAAATTCGCTTTCTGGTGTTGGGGATTGAACCCAGGGCCTTGTACATGCTAAGTACATTTCACCACTGAGCTATACCCCCAGTCTGCGCCAAATCTTGGAGCCAGTATTTTGCTCATGATCTTTTATTTAAAGATTTATTTTATGTGTTGTGTGTATGTCTGAATGTATGTGTACTTTGTGTGTGTGTGTGTGTGTGTGTGTGTGTGTGTGTGTGTGTGTGTGCAGTGCCTGCAGAGGCCAGAAGAGAGTGTCAGATTCCCCTGGAATTGGCGTTACGGGTGGTTGTAAGATGCCTAACCTGGATACTGGGAGCTGAACCTGGGTTCTTGGCAAGAACAGTTGCTGCTCTTAACCACTGAGCCATCTCTCTAGCCCCCTCCTCATGGTCTTTATGGGAACTGAAATCAACTCCTCTATTAGACCATGTGGTCAAGAAGCAATGAATGAACTATCATTTTCAGACCAATTTAAATTAACTTTCTTTCCTTTATAAGCACACGTCACACTACTGAATGACCACCCCCTCAACTATATGGGATGTGAATTAAAATTCCAGTCAGCCCCGTTTTTCAACTTGTGTTTAGCCCAAGTTGACCTTGTGCTAAAAACTGCAGTCCTCCTGCACAACACGGGTGCACTTACATGCAGGCTGTCCGCTAATACACATAAAATTAAAATACTAAAAATTGCAATCCTTATGATGTTCCCAAAAAATTAATAAGAAATTATATTAAAAATGTTGCAATCCTCTTCCTTTGGAGTCTTTTGAAGAAAGCTACATCTCAGCCATCTTCAAATCATGGCCCAAATTTAGTAGCTGTCTGTCAGCACCTCTTGACTCAGTTTTTCCATTTATTAAACAGGAGAGTACAGTATCCACACTGAGGAAGTTGTCTTAAGAATGAAGAGAGATAACAACTTCATGGGAAGGGCTGAGGTCCTGAGAGCCCCACAGATGTGGGCTGCCATGCACCCCACCACCTGAGGCCTTGACTCACTGTCACAACTGTAGGATCCTAATGGGATAAGCCGAGGTCTACTCCTAGACAGCATAGGGAGAGCACATGTTTTTTTTTTTTTGAAACAGGGTCTCCCTGTAGCCCCAGCAGGCCTGGAACTTGTAGACCAGGCTAGCCTCGATCTTACAGCACTCCACCTGCCTCAGCCTCCCCAGTGTTGCCCAGCACAGAGCACAGTTTTGTACTGTGTGATGTGTGGATCTCAGGGTGACTGTGGCTTTCCTTAAGGCCAGGGTCAGAGTTCACAAGAAGCAGAAGAAAGCAAAGGGGACCATCATTCTTCATAAGGCATTTCCCCCTCTTGTTTGCAGAAAGGTGTGTGTGTGTGTGTGTGTGTGTGTGTGTGTGTGTGTGTATATATATAAAATGTATATTATCTGTAATACATATATATT